TATTCAAATTATGACACTGCAAAAAAAATATTGAAAGACCATGGCCTGCCAAAGAACAAAAAGATCTGTCTCGAAAGAAGTACAACTGGAAAGCTCCTTAGTAACCTTAGCTCCTGTACTTTGGATATGTTATCAGGACATGTCAGTCCTTAGAAAAGGGCATCATCCTTGGTAAAGTTGAGGGGCAGTGAAAAGAGGAAGAGCCTTGACAAGACTAATTGGCACAGTGGCTGCAAAGATGGGTCCAAACATAACAATTGTGAGGATTGTGTAGAACTGGGAGATGTTTGGTTCTGTTGTACCTAAAGTAATCAAGAATTGGATCCGACTCTTGGTAATGCACAAACAACAATGAGCCATAGACCACTGGGTGATTTTCCGTCTACAAAGTGAAGGCCTTTAAAACTTTCTTTTAAAAAACTTTTTTTGGGCTTGTTGTTTGATCCAATAACTCTAGTTCAATTGTTTTAGTATATTGGGAATATTGGAAATGGTTTAATTTGTCAGTTAGCCACAGACACCAAACCATGAGTAGCTACAATGAAACTGATTGAAATATCTAAAAGTAAATAAAATATTTTTAACAAAAATTGTCCTTGTTAAACACATCACACTTTAAATTATAACAAATTTTTATCTAGGTAATCTACTTTGTATCTATTTAGGAAGTGATATGAGAAGGCCCACAACAAAATTAATTGACATAGAAGCTACAATAGTGGGCTCAAGCAGAGCAAGAACTGGGAGAATGACTGGACAGTGTCTTGTTTTACCTAAGGATTCTATGAGTAGAAAATGACTAGATGGCACTTAACAACTACAAGTGTCACAAGTGAAGGATCTTTTTCTAGATTCATAGAGATGGGAAGAAGTAGATACGAAAAGGGATAAATTGCAGCCTGGGTAATCCAATGAATGTAAATAATAAAATCACAGATCAGAGAAGGGAATTGTATTACAATTTAAATTCTGAGCACCTTGTTTACAGGAGGCTATGAATCAGAGTGAAGGCCCAAAATCCATGGGTAGAGTTCCCATGGGGAGTAAGTCACTGTTGAATTCTCCAGGACCATTGACAAGGGATGTGAATAGCCTTGCCCTCAGACAGAGTGCATTGAAAAGGGGATTGCTTCACAGATTGCGGGATTATTAGAATAAAGTGTTCTTGTGTTCAGGGAGTACTTGAGTTGAGGCCCAATGTCCATCTGCAACCTTAATTCTTAACATATAGATATAATAAGTACATAGATCTATTACCCTCTCGTTATATATAAATATACGGGGAATCCAGGATAGATAGACCCCTCAGCCCCAACAATGAGAATAGAGATACTAGAACGATAAGGGGAAGGTGGCAGGGAGAAAGCAGGAATTGATCACAAGGATCAACATATAACCTCTCCCATGGGGACAAACAACAAAAAAGTGGGTAAAGGGTAACAGAGGATGATGCAAGATATGAAAATAATAATCTATAATTTATCAAGGGTTCATGAGGGAGGGCAGGCGGGGGAGGGAGGGGAAAATGAGCTAATATCAAGGGCTCAAGTAGAAAGAAAATGCTTTGAAAATGATGGCAGCATATGTACAAATGTACTTGACACAATGGATGAATGTATGGATTGTGATAAGAGATGTAAGAGCCCCCAATACAAGTATCTAAAAAAAGAAAAGTGGATTGCTACAGATATAGTTTGGCTAATATTAATGTTATCATTTGTTTTCCCTTTGGACACATTTTTAATTGTTCTTATATTTATAACCTTGTGCTTTCCCATGGATTGAGGTTTGTATGTGTATTATTTTGTTGTTGTTGTTGGGATTTGGTATTATTTTTAATATGAAATGAGGATAGATAAATTTATAGAGATAATAATTAGAATAATAGTTTCTTAGGATTATGGCAGGGGAGTTTAGGGGAAATGGGAAGCTAATAATAATGAATACAAAACAAAGAAAATATTCTAAAATTAATTGTGGTGAGGATTGAAAAACTTTTAAATATGCTCAAAGCCATGAGAAATATGGTATGTGCATGAACTATATTATAATCTCACTCTCACTAACATCAAGTCGATGCCCACTCATAAAGACCTTATACGGCAGAGTAGTACTGCTGCTGTGGGCTTCTGAGACTGCAATTGTTTACCTGAGTAGAAAGCCCTGTCTTTCTCCCACAGAACTAATTGATAGTTTCCAACTGCCAACCTTGCAGATCACAGCCCAGTCCAACACATAACCACCACACCACAGGGAGTCCTGTTATGTCACTAGAACTGTTAAAAAACAACAACAAACAAACAAGCAAAAACAGGGAATGCTTGAGGTCAATGGCTGTTATTTTGCCTATCAGCATAAGTTCATTCCCTTTTTAATAATCAAACTCCAAGGAGCTACTCTTCTTCTAGGTTTAATCTATTTGATTTGGATAATATCTAGACTCCATGAATAGAACATTTGATTTAAGCTGTCCTAATTAACCTATTTCAATCCCCTGATAAAACAGAATTCAAGCAGAAACACGTGTCCTAAATCAAGTCAATCAGGGCAAATGAGACTTAATTTCAGAAACATATTTGTTTCCTATGGAAATTAACTTTTGTTCTCTTTTGTGTATGGGAAGAATGAACACATTGGAAATGCTCTTATTCCATTGAGGTTAGATGGGGACTAGAATAGGTATAGCCCTTAACATCCCTGAAAGAATATATTGTAGAATAAACTGTCCCGATGAAACTGAAATCAAGATCAACTCTTACACCAGTCTCTCCTCCCCTCCCTCAACAAATCTAATTTCCAATTCAATTTATATCAATGTTATATATAGCCCTGGATTTCAAATAATTCCTTCCCCTAAGTGTGCCTTAAAATCAGATTTTTAGATACATCTGAATAGGTGTATATGTTTCTTATTTAGTGGGTTATCCCTTGGGTTGCTATCTATAAGGTCAGCAATTCAAAACCATCAGCTGCTCCATTGAGGAAAAATGAGACTTCCTACTGCTGTAAATAATTACTATCTTGGAAACCTATAAGGTTGGTTCTCCTTTGTCCTATAAGATCAACTAGATGGCAGTGAGTTTTTAGAGTGCAATAAAGAGCCCAAGTGATGTTATCAGGTACATATTGGACTGCTAATTGCAACATCAGGGGATCAAACCTACCTAGCAACATCTTGGGAGATGACGAGGCTCTCAACTCCAGTAAAGATTTCTCAAACCTCAAAATCACTGTACAGAGTCAATATGAATTAGTATCACCTGGATGGCAGTGGTTTGGGATTTTTCACACCAAGAACAGGCTTGAAGTGTTTTAAATTATTTGAAAGCTGTATGTACAACAGGTGGCAGTTATTGTGATAGATAATTTATTGGATTTAATCATTTTAAAAAGAGGGCAGGCTTGCATAATATTAAAGGCAAATACTAGTTTTCTGTAAATTAGGCACTCCTAACAGGAAAATTACTTAAACTAATTTAACAGTCTGAAAAGTCCTTTGGATATTTATTGTATTTGGTTCACAATTTATATAACTTAAAAATACATATGGAATTCACTGCTGTCTAGTTGATTCCCCATCATAATGACCCTATAGGTAGAGTAGAATGCTTCACAGGATTTCCAAAAATGAAAGATTTGCAGAGCAGACTGCCATATCTTCCTCCCAGAGAGCAGTTGATGACTTAAAAACATGAATCTTTTGGTGAACTGACAACATTTTAATCACTGTATCACTAAGGCTTGAATTTGAATGCTTACTTCTGATTACACTAAAATGCGAAGGAGAGAGTGCAATTTTATTTTCAAAATTTAAATAACAAGATTAAGTCACATTTGAATTTGAATTTGAATTAATTCTTGGACCTTTTATTTATTATCTTCAAATTTAATGTATATTTCAAACATGAATTATTATGTAACTGTTACACTCCCCAATGTTCATTGCAGCACAGCTCATTGAAGCAAAACAGTAAGAATCTGGAAACAGCCTAAATTTCTATCAGTAGAAAATTGGATAGCAACAACTCTGGTATATACACACAGAGGCATACTATGAATCTTTAAAATAACAGTGATGAAAAATGAAACACCTCATGATATAGAGGGATCTGGAAAACATTATGCTAAGTGAAGTGAATCAATCATAAATAAACAAATACTGCCAGGGTGCCCAGACAGCCAGGTTGAGATCCTGACTGGCCTAATGAACCATACACCATCTTCTCTAGGTATGTACCTTGAAGGTCACTTTGGTGGAAGGCTCCTCATGTCAGCTGGGACTAAATTGTCAAGGGAGGAGAGGGGATGTTGACCACTAGTGGCTGCCATGCAAAGTTATGAGGAGATCCTTCCTAGATAGTTTCACATCTGGCTGGGAAAGTCAAGTCAGGAGATGGGAAAAGGAACAGACACAAGTGCATGTCTGTTGATAGAAATAGGGGGAGGACTGTTCCACGGGTGGGGGGGTGGATGACTGAAAATACTTTTGAGGACCCTAAGGGAGGAGTATCCCTGGTACCATGCATTGATTAAGGCACACTGTCCCAAGTTTCTGGGGACCCAGGGCAAGTGCCATAGAACATTGGGGCATTGAGTCCTGGATATTCAAGATTCACAACATTCTCCAAAGGCCATACCAGAGGGATTAATTGTGGAAACTCCACTAGGTGAAACAGGCTATACCTCAAACACACTTGTAATCTGATAACTTGAGACTAAAATTGCATGGTGTGTGAAGAAACAAAAGACAACTAATACAAGAGTATTGAATAATAGGTAGGTAGACAATCATTGACTGACTACATCAATACTATATCTCCTGAATTAAGATATATATGATTCCAGAAAACCTGTGGCTGACATAATCAGTGAATATTATGGTAAATTTCCCTTAACAACCAACTCCCATTGTTTGAGTAAATAGCATCCAGCCACAAAAGGATTTATTCTGTACATGGAATAATTCAAGTATTGTGATATGGAGTTAGCCTATTTGGCCTATCGCTTCTCTGCCTTTTGGCTAAGATCAAGTGTTGTATCTGTTCTTATCAGTTTACTATCTGATATGTCCTCTATCTGAGGACGATATATTAAATGTATCTTTGCTAGCAGGAGCTGGACTAGGAGCTTACTCCATCCACTCCACGCATCAACCTGTTAGTGCAGTGCTTCCAGGAATGGTTCAGTTCCTTAGGGGGCTCTAAAAAAAAAGAAAAGAAAAGAAAAGAGAGCCTACATTGGCCCAATAGCCCTCTCTCAACAGTGTTTTTGAAATTAGTATCAGGTGCTAATCAATGACAATATTAATGGAAGAACTTTATGCTCCAGGGAGATGAGAGTCTTCACTGTAAATTAACAAAGAGGTCTCTTTAACGAGCCAAAAGCAGATGAAATAAACATTCAGGAATGGATTTTGGTTCACACTAAATCCTAGCTCCAACTTAAGAACAATTTGTTCTTATCATGGCTCTGCTTGATACTCGCCCTCAGGAAGAGAACACAAGTATATAGGTGCTATAGCAAAGTGTGGTGGAAAAATTAAATGGCATCTGGCTATCAAATAAAATAGAGTCTTGTGTCGTAAAGGCTGTTTCCAAATAAGCAACCATCTAAGTGAGATGTCAACTAAGTCAACATGAAGGAAGCACACAAACATCAGTGACCAAAGGATTGTAAAGCATATCATCCAAATTTGAAGGAGGGAAAAGTATCAGAGACTAAACTGGAAGATTCTGGTTTGCAGAAGGCTATGGAGGACAGTGGAAGCCCAAGATGCATTTGTGAAATCTACATAAAAAAATAAGTCTCTGGTGATTGTCCTCTATCAGTAATGGAGGGATGGGAATAAACCGATGATCGGGGCTTTAAGTGGAGAGAAAATGTTTTGAGAATGATGAGGGCAATGAATGTACAAATGCGCTTTACACAATTGATGTGTGTATGGATTGTGATAAAAGTTGTATGAGCCCCTAATAAAACAATTAAAAAAAAAGAGTTCAAAATGAGCATCGCCAAAGCTCTTCTTGAAGGAAAAAGTAATATACCAACAAAAAGAGGCAGACCTTCTACTAGTTTTACTGATGTTGAGTTTGCTAATGAAATTGATATTTTGCCACCAAAAGTATCCCTGGAAGAGATCCCACTTTGGATGGTCTTCACCATTACCCTGAGGTCACAGAGGAAGAGGCAAAAATGTAAATTGCAAGAGTGCACCAGTATTTTTCTGCAACAAATGCAAAGTTCATGTTTGTATCACAAAAGAAAAAAATTGTTTTGTTCACTTTCACACTAAAATTATAAACAAATAAGCTTTGTATTATATTTTATAAACTAAAAAAAAAGGACGATATTAATTGACCACATCTTTGTCAGCATCCATCTATATCCACTGACTGGAAACTGGTTTAGGTTCTTTGAAACATTTGCATATTGATATTGATAACTGAAATAGGAGGTTCATTAGTACAGGAAACCCATATTTTCTACAAATTTATATATATACTAAAAAAGTGCTTTACCATTGCCTAAGAAGTGGAATTTTAAGTGCTCAGGTTCACATTTTTTTAGAAATAAAACAATTGTTTTTCATGGAAATATATAGCTATCTTCCATTAGTTGATATAGGAATGAATTAGTTGATATAGGAATTTTAGGACATTTAACTTTGCAGCATCTTCAATTTAAAAGTGTTTAGGAAGTGATACATTCAATTAACACTTAAGAGCTATCAATTTGCCTTGACATTGGAATATTGTTCCTCCTGGCAAAATAGAGCTCTTTTACTTGGTTTGGTTGTTTTTGACTCAAGAATAGTAAATGCTTTGGGGATTCAATAAAATGGAAATGATGTGAGTTAAGTAATGTAAGTAAAGTACATAGGAGACTATGATTTGTTTTGAAGTCATCAATTATTTAATTATTTTGGAGCCCCTTAAAAATAATCATGAAGATAAAATCCTGTCCTTTAATATAAGAAATCTTGTCCATATTGACCAATTTCAAATCTTATGAAAGTCACAGTAAAGGTATGGTACTTTAATTCAAAAGGCTTCAGAAAGTCTATTTCTGCTTTGTCAGGTGCCTTCGAGTCTGGTCTGACTTATAGAATCTCCACATACATCAGAATGAGTCACTGCCAGGTCTTGTGCCTCCTCACAATTACTATGCATGAGCCCATAGCTGCAGCTACTATGCCGATCCATCTCATCAAAGTTATTCCTCTTTTTTTGCTGATCTTCTAATTTACCAGCATGATGATATCTTCCCCAAGGAAGATGCTCTCCTGATAATGTATAAAAAGTCTGACTATCTTCACTTTTAAGGAACATTCTGGCTAAGCTTCTTTTTTCTTTTACTGTCTTTTAAAAAAATCATTTTATTGGGGGCGCATACAACTCTTATCACAATCCATACATACATCAATTGTATAAAGCACATTTGTACAATCATTACCCTCATCGTTCTCAAAATATTTTCTCTCCACCTAAGCCCTTGGCATCAGCTTCTAATTTTGCCCCCTCTCTCCTCGCTCCCCCTCCCACCTGAACCCTTGATAATTAATAAATTATTATTTTTTCATATCTTGCACTGTCCGAAGTCTCCCTTCACTCACTTTTCTGTTGTCCATCCCCCAGGGAGGAGGTTATATGTAGATCCCTGTAATTGGTTCCCACTTTCTACCCACCCTCCCTCCACCCTTCTGGTATCGCCACTCTCAGCACTGGTCCTGTACTGGATTCCTTTTTTTTCCCCCAGTTCCTATCTGTACCAGTGTACATCCTCTGGTCTACCCAGATTTGTGAGGTAGAATATGGATCATGATAGTGGGAGAGGGTAAGTGGGGAGGTAAAGAACTAGAGGAAAATTGTATGTTTCATTGTTGCTACACTGCACCCTGACTGACTCGTCTCCTCCCCACGACCCTTCCGTAAGGGGATGTCCAGTTGCCTACAGATGGGCTTTGGATCCCCACTCTGCACTCCCCCTCATTCACAATGATATGAGTTTTTGTTCTTTGATGCCTGATTGCTTAGACACCTCGTGATCACACAGGCTGGTGCTTCTTCCATGTGGGCTTTGTTGCTCTCAGCTAGATGCCCACTTGTTTACCTTCAAGTCTTTAAGACCCCAGATGCTATATTTTTGATAGCTCCATCAGCTATCTCCATCAGCTTTCTTTGCCACATTTGCTTATGCTCCTGCTTTGTCTCCAGTGATTGTCGGGAAGGTGAGCATCATGGAATTCCAGTTTAATAGAACAAAGTATTCTTGCATTGAGTGGTGGCCCAATGTTCACCTGCTACCTTAATACTAAACCTATAAATATATGCACATAAATCTATTTCCCCATCCTCATATAAGTATATTTACATATGTACATGCCTTTATTTAGACCTATATAAATGCCATTTGCCTCCCAGCTCTTTCCTCTATTTCCTTTTACTTTCCTTTTGTCCCACTATCATGCTCAGCCTTCACTGGGTTGCAGTAATTCCTCTTGGTTACATTACCCTTGATCACACCCGACAAGGCCTCCTATCCCCTCCTCACCGCCAATTTGGATCACTTGTTGTTCCCTTGTCCCTGGGTTTGTTAACACCACTTCCTTTCCCCCCACCTCCCCCTCTCCCGTGTCGCCCTGGAACTGTTGGTCCCATTGCTTTCTCCTCCAGATTGTGTATCCAACCTGTCTTATTTAGACAGACCTGCAAAGATAATAACATGCACAAAAACAAGACAGAGCAAAACCAAGCAAAAAAAGAACAATCCAACAACAACAAAACGCCAATGACAACAAACCAAAACAAAACAAAAAACACAACACACAACAACCAAAAAGAAAAGCTTGTAGTTAGTTCAAGGACTGTTTGTTGGTCTTTACGAGTGTTTTCTGGGAGAGTGTGATGGGGTGCCAAGCCCTGGCCCAAAGTATTTTTGGTCTTCCCTGGGGACTTTGTTGCTGTGTTGCCTTGCTGTTCTGCTGCACACCCTTAGTGTTTTGCCATGTTGTGGTAGTATCAGATTGGACGTAATTCAGCTGGGCTGATTTCAAGATAGATCTATTTGTTTTTCTGGCAGTCCATGACATCTTTAATATTCTTCACCAACATCATAATTCAAATGCATTAAATCTTCTGTTGACTTCTTTATATATTGTTCAAATTTTATATTCATATGAAGTCATTGAAAATATGGTGGCTTGGGTCAGGCACACCTTAATCCTCAAAGTAACCACCTTGCATTTCAACATTTTAAAGTGGTCTTGTACTGCAGATTTACCCATTGAAACAAGACTTGATTTCTTGATTGCTGCTTCCATGAGTATTGATTGTGAATTCAAGAAAGACAAAATCCTTGACAACGTCTCTCTTTTCTCCATTTATCATGATGTATTTGTCCAGGATTTTGGTTATTTTTTACATTGAGCTGTAATCCATACTGAAATAAGCAATTATTGATGTTCATCAGCAAGTACATCAAGCTGTCCTCACTTTCAGCAAGCAAGGTTGTATCATCAGCATATCACAGGTTATTAGTATCTTTTACTTTCAGCCAAGATCTATCTGAAAGAAGAGACTCCGAGAAAGATATTTACTTACATTTCCTTGACTATTCCCATAGGCAATCAACTGTGTGCCTCACAACAAAGTATGAATGCTTGTTATGGACCATGCTGGTATTTAAAATACCAGTGACATAGATTCCAGCATCACAGCACTACACATGCCACCACAGTAAAACAGAGAGACATATGGCAGAGTGATGACATAGCTTTTAACATCACAGTATCTTGCCATCACTATAGTAGGGCACACTGACAAGTACCATCAAGAAAATTTCTCTCAGAATGCAAGTGAAAGATATCACAAGTTTAATCAATATTGACTACCTAAAACACTTAAAAAATATGAAAGAAGGGACTAAAAGTCATATATGAAAAATCAATAGCCAACATCACACTCCATTGAGAAAAGCTAGAAACATTTCCACTGAAACTAGGGACAAGACAAGGATGTCTCCTTTCACCACTCTTAGTCAATGTCATGCTGATAGTGTTAGCTAGAGTCATAAGACAACAAAAAAAATCAAGGGAATGCAAATAAGCAAAGTAGAAGTGAAACTCTTGCTACTTGCAGATAATATGATCCTACATAGAAAACCTAAAAGTCTCCACATCAAGCCTACCTGAAG